TTAATGAGGGAAATAAGTATTTGACCCCCTCCTCAATCAGAAAGATTTCTGGCTCACAGGTGTCTTTTATACACGTAATGAGCTGAGATTAGGAGCACACTCTTAAAGAGAGTGCTCCTAATCTCAGCTAGTTACCTGTATAAAAGACACCTGTCCACAGAAGCGATCAATCAATCAGATTCCAAACTCTCCACCATGGCCAAGACCAAAGAGCTCTCTAAGGATGTCAGGGACAAGACCTACACAAGGCTGGCATGGGCTACAAGACCATCGCCAAGCAGCTTGGTGAGAAGGTGACAACAGTTGGTGCGATTATTCGCAAATGGAAGAAACACAAAATAACTGTCAATCTCCCTCGGCCTGGGGCTCCACGCAAGTTCTCACCTCGTGGAGTTGCAATGATCATGAGAACGGTGAGGAATCAGCCCAGAACTACACGGGAGGATCTTGTCAATGATCTCAAGGCAGCTGGGACCATAGTCACCAAGAAAACAATTGGTAATACACTACGCCATGAAGGACTGAAATCCTGCAGCACCCGCAAGGTCCCCCTGCTCAAAAAAGCACATATACATGCCTGTCGGAAGTTTGCCAATGAACATCTGAATGATTCAGAGGAGAACTGGGTGAAAGTGTTGTGGTCAGATGAGACCAAAATCGAGCTCTTTGGCCTCAACTCAACTCGCCGTGTTTGGAGGAGGAGGAATGCTGCCTATGACCCCAAGAACACCATCCCCACCGTCAAACGTGGAGGTGGAAACATTATGCTTTGGGGGTGTTTTTCTGCTAAGGGGACAGGACAACTTCACCACATCAAGGGGACGATGGACAGGGCCATGTACCGTCAAATCTTGGGTGAGAACCTCCTTCCCTCAGCCAGGGCATTGAAAATGGGTCATGGATGGGTATTCCAGCATGACAATGACCCAAAACACACGGCCAAGGCAACAAAGGAGTGGCTCAAGAAGAAGCACATGTGGAGGGAGCTGAAGGTTCGAGTTGCCAAACGTCAGCCTCGAAACCTTAATGACTTGGAGAAGATCTGCAAAGAGGAGTGGGACAAAATCCCTCCTGAGATGTGTGTGAACCTGGTGGCCAACTACAAGAAACGTCTGACCTCTGTGATTGCCAACAAGGGTTTTGCCACCAAGTACTAAGTCATGTTTTGCAGAGGGGTCAAATACTTATTTCCCTCATTAAAATGCAAATCAATTTATAACATTTTTGACATGTGTTTTTCTGGATTTTGTTGTTGTTATTCTGTCTCTCACTGTTCAAATAAACCTACCATTAAAATTATAGACTGATCATTTCTTTGTCAGTGGGCGTACGTACAAAATCAGCAGGGGATCAAATACTTTTTTCCCTCACTGTAGATAGCTATGTACATATAGGTATGGGGTAAAGTGACTAGGCAACAGGATCGATAATAAACAGCAGTGAATGTGATGAGTCAAAGGGGTCAATGCAGATAGTCTGTGTAGCTATTTGGTTAACTATTTAGCAGTCTTATGGCTTGAAGGTACAGTGGCTTGCGAAAGTATTCATCCCCCTTGGCATTTTTCCTATTTTGTTGCCTTACATCCTGGGATTAAAATTGATTTATTGGGGGTTTGTATCATTTGATTTACACAATATGCCTACCACTTTGAAGATGCAAAATATTTTTTATTGTGAAAAAAACAAGAAATAAGACACAAAAAAGACCTTGCACGTGCACTACTATTCCCCCCTCTCCCCCCCAAAGTCAATACTTTGTAGAGCCACCTTTTGCAGCAATTACAGCTGCAAGTCTCTTGGGGGTATGTCTCTATAAGCTTGGCACATCTAGCCACTGGGATTTTTGCCCATTCTTCAAGGCAAAACTGCTCCAGCTCCTTCAAGTTGGATGGGTTCCGCTGGTGTACAGCAATCTTTAAGTCATACCACAGATTCTCAATTGGATTGAGGTCTGGGCTTTGACTAGGCCATTCCAAGACATTTAAATGTTTCCCCTTAAACCACTCGAGTGTTGCTTTAGCAGTATGCTTAGGGTCATTGTCCTGCTGGAAGGTGAACCTCCGTCCCAGTCTCAAATCTCTGGAAGACTGAAACAGGTTTCCCTCAAAAATGTCCCTGTATTTAGCGCCATCTGACCAGTTTCCCAGTCCCTGCCAATGAAAAACATCCCCACACGATGATGCTTCCACCACCATGCTTCACTGTGTGGATGGTGTTCTCGGGGTGATGAGAGGTGTTTGGTTTGCACCAGACATAGCGTTTTCCTTGATGGCCAAAAAGCAACATTTTTGTCTCATCTGACCAGAGCACCTTCTTCCATATGTTTGGGGAGTCTCCCACATGCCTTTTGGCAAACACCAAACGTGTTTGCTTATTATTTTCTTTAACCAATGGCTTTTTTTCTGCCCACTCTTCCGTAAAGCCCTGCTCTGTGGAGTGTACGGCTTAAAGGGGTCCTATGGACAGATACTCCAATCTACACTGTGGAGCTTTGCAGCTCCTTCAGGGTTATCTTTGGTCTCTTTGTTGCCTCTGATTAATGCCCTCCTTGCCTGGTCCGTGAGTTTTGGTGGGCGGCCCTTTCTTGGCAGGTTTGTTGTGGTGCCATATTATTTCCATTTTTTAAATAATGGATTTAATGGTGCTCTGTGGGATGTTCAAAGTTTCTGATATTTTTTTATAACCCAACCCTGATCTGTACTTCTCCACAGCTTTGTCCCTGACCTGTTTGGAGAGCTCCTTGGTCTTCATGGTGCCCCTTGCTTAGTGGTGTTGCAGACTCTGGGGTCTTTCAGAACAGGTGTGTGTATATATACTGAGATCATGTGACAGATCATGTGACACTTAGATTGCACACAGGTGGACTTTATTTAACTAAATATGTGACTTCTGAGGGTAATTGGTAGCACCAGATCTTATTTAGGGGCTTCATAGCAAAGGGGGTGAAAACATATGCACACACCACTTTTCTGTTATTTATTTTTATGGAATTTTTTTAAAGTAATTTTTTTTCACTTCGCCAATTTGGACTATTTTGTGTATGTCCATTACATGAAATCCAAATAAAAATCAATTTAAATTGCAGGTTGTAATGCAACAAAATAGGAAAAACGCCAAGGGGGATGAATACTTTTGCAAGGTACTGTAGAAGCTGTTATGGGTCCTGTTGGTTACAGACTTGGTGCGTTGGTACTGCTTGCTGTGCGGTAGCAGAAAAAACAGTCCATGTCTTGAGTGGCTGGAGTCTTTGACAATTTTTAGGGCCTTCCTCTGACCCCGCCTGTTAGAGGTCCTGGAATGACGGGAGGTCGGTCCCAATAATGTACTGCTGGGCCGTACGCACTACCCTATGTAGCACCTTGCATTTGGATGCCAAGCGGTGATGCAGCCAGTCAAGATGCTCTCAATGGTGCAGCTGTATAACTTTTTGAGGATCTGAGGGCCTTTGCCAAATCTTTTCAGCCTCCTGAGGGGGAAGAGGCGTTGTCGTGCCTTCTTCGGGACTGTGTTGATGTGTGTGGACCATGTTAATTATGGAGTTGTGCACGGCTGAACAGGGAGTACAGGAGGGGACTAAGCACGCACCCCTGAGGGGGCCCCTGTGTTGAGGGTCAGCGTGGCGGATGTGTTGTTGCCTACGCTCACATTTTCGTGTTACGTTGAGAATGCTTGGGCTAATAACTTGAAAAAATGAGCCACCTTGTGACTGAAGCAGAAACTGGCTTTCGAATAAACTAACTCCGGAGATGTGTGGGCTGTGCTTTCAGGTTATACCAGTCTAGTCTCTTATTTTCTACTTATTATCTATTCCTACTTGTATATATTTGTGCCAGTCATGTATATTAACACAAAACATACAATCAAATAACTACAGTAAGGCTACCATCTTGAGAATTTGATCTTGTTATTGGGTCATTTGGGCACATCCGAGAACCCAAAGCTCAGAGAACACAGTCAATTTTTGGATGATGGCTACATAGAGATTGTCCGGTACGCACTTGGGCTGGGAATTGTCAGGGACCTCACGACACTTAGTTGCCGATACAATATTTATTGTGATTCTATAGACCCTTTTACAGTACACGACATACTGACGTTACGCACAGATGCGCGCAACTCTTGGTGGCAGTAAGAAAACCAGCGCCATTTGCACCCATTCAACATAGCTGAGATTTACTTTTTTATTACTTCTGGGAAAAAATACTTTTTGTGGTTCTCATACGCTTACAATTATGTTTTGATTCTTGCTTGAACTGTCGCTAATGTTATATTTGATTGTGGTCTTTGCAAAATAACTATTTTGGATGCATCAGTTGTTAGCTAGAATGCTAACGCTCATTGGTAAATGCTGTAGCAAAAGCTAGCCAAAGAGCCATTTTACTGGTTGACGTTGAAGTGTTTAAGTATAATGCAGTTGATTTGCGATAATGACACAAACATTATATTGAGCAGGATATTCATACGGGCCTTAAAATCCAATTATAATCAAAAAGTAGTGTGAAATGCACTCATAAGCAACATGTAAGTAGAGGCTTTTTTGCTGGCATTCTATAAGAAATCCCCCTTGTTCTGCCACCAACTTGCGCACATCGCCCTTGTGCGGCAATGTTTGCGATTCGATTTTCCAAACATATTGCTCACCATATGTCTGCTGCAGAGGGACAAGAGTCATGAGAAAACACATTTTTTGGTCGGTCATGGGAATAAAAGTGCTGAAAACAAATTGGCTCCCTATTTAAGAAGATAATGGAGAACAAGCTATGAAGGAAAAATACTGGAGTTTTGGTGCAGGTACAGCCAACTAAAGCAAAACATATTGCGATATTCTCAAAATAATAAGATTTGTTCCCCCCTCTTCACCCCAATCACTAGTACGCACTCAGTTTTACTCCTCACTGCTGGGTTGGTTTGTTGTAAATACTGGTCACTAACCCATCTGTCATTTGTCCTCTCTGCAGAGTGGAGCTTGGTGCTTTCACGTTCTCAGACTCAGCTGAGAGATGTCCACCCCGGACCCCCCCATGGGAGGGACGCCCCGGCCGGGCCCCTCCCCAGGACCAGGGCCTTCTCCAGGAGCCATGATGGGCCCCAGCCCTTCCCCGGGCTCTGCTCATAGCATGATGGGACCCAGCCCAGGTCCCCCAGCCTCTGGACACCCCCACCCTCAACAGGGGCCCTCAGGATATCCTCAGGAGAACATGCACCAGATGCACAAAGTAAGACAGAAAATGGGCATATCCATAACTGTAATGTATATAAAATGTCTGCAATGGTACCATTTTATGATAATTGTATTGCATTATTCTATTCTTCCTTTACTGTACATAAGAAATGTATGTGCTATCTAAGTAGGACATGCTTATGTCAATGTGTTAATGTGTGTTGTCTTTTCGCAGCCTATGGAAGGCATGCATGAGAAGGGCATGCCTGACGACCCTCGCTACGGACCGATGAAGGGCATGGGAATGAGACCAGGTGGAGGCCACATCGGAATGGGACCCCCTCCTAGCCCCATGGACCAACATTCCCAAGGTACCATACCATGGTGTACTGAATAGATTAGATTGCATGGAGGATAGAGGAAACATTGACTCTGTTATTGAAGGAGCTTAACACAAAAGGTTAACTTATTAGCTTTCCATATGATCTTAAAATGGTGATTATGATTTTAGGCTTAAGCACAATTGTCTTTAAAGCCAATTCCCCGAAAAGAGGAACTGTGAACGCTAACTTGTGTATACGCATGTGCACTTGCACTTGTACTTGTACTATGAACTCAACCAGCCACTTTCTCCTCTTTCGCTTCTGTTGTTTTGTTGGGTAGCGTGAGCAGCAGACGCTCAGTGGAGGGGCAGGGCATGAAGCTTCCTCTTTCAGACAATGAAGGTGGCAGCTGTCTGCTACAAAAACAGTCAGCCACCAAGGAGAGCGAGACAGAGGGGCGGTTGAAATACTGTAACACAGGGGAGGGTGTTTTTCTGTTGACTCTTCTATCCTGTATTGACTGGTGACAGAGGGCGAGGCTCAGCTGTAATGTGTGCATGTCTGTTAGAGACTGTGATTTGTAAAGTGTTTGTATCGCCAGTCCAGCTCATAATCATAATACCAGTCTGCATTTTGGTTTTGGCTAATATTTGGCAATTTGGCTAACATTTCTTCTGGTCTATTAGCATCCATTTTCAATGTATCTAGCCATTTTATTAGTCATTCAAATCAGTTTCCCACTGTTCTCAATTAAAGGGACAGTCATGCCCTACCATTCCCAGGGAAGAAGACTTTTCTCACCTGTGCTGTTGTCTCTGCTTCCTAGGCTACCCCTCTCCACTGGGGGGTTCTGAGCACTCTCCCAGCCCTGTGCCAGCCAATGGCCCTCCCCCCGGCCCCATGATGCCCTCCGGCCCAGGAGGTGTCCCAATGGAGGGCAGTGACCCCCAGGCCATGGGCCAGCAGAACCGCGGTGGTGTCCCAGGTCCAAGTGGTGTTTCTGGGCCAGGCGGGGTTGGTCCGGGTGGACCCACCCCCTTCAACCAAAACCAGCTGCACCAGCTCAGGGCCCAGATCATGGCCTACAAGATGCTGGCTCGCAGCCAGCCCCTGCCAGACCACCTGCAGATGGCCGTGCAGGGCAAGAGGCCCATGCCAGGGATGCAGCAGCCAGGGATGCCCAATATGCCCCCTTCCTCTGGGCCCGGAGCAGGGCCTGGGGCGGGGCCCGGACAGCCACCAGCACACTACAACAGACCTCTTGGTGAGTGGGGTGGGCACATGCAAGGTTATGCTACACTGCCTGTCAATGAGTTTTGCAACCCTATGAATTACACATAAATGCACATAATTACGGTCAATCACACACAAATGCTGTCCTTCTCAAACAAATAAAATAAATAATTTGAATGCTGAACAGGGACCCCTGGTGGTGAAACTTGAACACATGCTCTCGGTTCAGGCACCATTTTCTACATTAACTAGACTTCAGTAGACATGAATGGCCAGGCAGTGTCTGATCATATCTAATGTCCCCTGTCATCTTGCAGGAATGGTAGGCCCCAACATGCCTCCTCCAGGACCCTCAGGTGTTCCCCCTGGTATGCAGGGCCAGCCCACCAACGGACCCCCTAAACAATGGCCCGAAGGTGAGCCTCATCTTGACCCCTGGGCAGTGATTCACCTGTGTGTGAGAGGGCACTAGTCTGTAGTGTTTCTAGTCCATGTTCTTCTCTTTCCTGTGCTGATAATTTCACCAGACCTATCACAAGAAATACACACATATTAAACAGATAATCAATACACCAAAACACTCTGTGGAATGGTAGAACTAATAACTCCTTCAATGCCATATGTTCTAGGGCCCATGGTGAATGCTGCTGCTCCATCCAGTGCCCCCCAGAAGCTGATTCCCCCTCAGCCCACTGGCAGACCCTCCCCTGCTCCCCCCTCCGTGCCCCCGGCTGCCTCCCCGGTCATGCCCCCTCAGACCCAGTCCCCTGGGCAGCCCCCCCAGCCCCCACCCATGGTGCTGCACCAGAAACAGAACCGCATCACACCTATCCAGAAGCCCCGTGGCCTGGACCCAGTGGAGATCCTCCAGGAGAGAGAGTACAGGCTGCAGGCTCGTATCACCCACCGTATTCAGGAGCTGGAGCATCTACCAGGGTCTCTGGCCGGAGACCTACGCACCAAAGCCAACATCGAGCTCAAGGCCTTGAGGCTGCTAAATTTCCAGAGACAGCTGCGTCAGGAGGTGGTGGTTTGTATGCGTCGTGACACGGCCCTGGAGACAGCCCTCAACGCTAAGGCCTACAAGCGCAGCAAGCGCCAGTCCCTCCGCGAGGCCCGCATCACAGAGAAACTGGAGAAGCAACAGAAGATCGAACAGGAGCGCAAACGACGACCAGAAACACCAGGTACACAGAGGGGTCGGGACTAAAATTCAACACCTAGATGTCAGGTGATCCTCACATCCTTGTAAGACCTCCAGTGCTTTGCGTTGTATTGTATAGACACTCATATTCTGATGTTTTTGTATAGGAATACCTTAACAGCATCCTGCAGCATGCTAAAGACTTCAAGGAGTACCACCGCTCCATCACAGCCAAGCTCCAGAAGGCCACCAAAGCCGTGGCCACATACCACGCCAACACTGAGCGCGAGCAGAAGAAAGAGAACGAGCGCATTGAGAAGGAGAGGATGAGGAGGCTGATGGTGAGGGACTACACAGCTGCACGGTTACACATGCACTGTTAAATAGCCGTATATCTAGTCTCACACCCAGTGCCTCTAACACCTGTCGTCAATGTGTGTGTCCTTCCCTAGGCTGAAGATGAGGAGGGCTACCGTAAACTCATTGACCAGAAGAAAGACAAGCGTCTGGCCTACCTTCTGCAGCAGACGGACGAGTATGTGGCCAACCTCACCGATCTGGTCAGAGCCCACAAGGCTGATCAGGCCCTCAAGGACAAGAAGAAAAAGAAGAAGAAGAAGAAAAAGAAGAAGGTGAAGAATGAGGCCAAGGACAAATGTTGAAAGTGCATCTTTCTGAAGTTCCATTTGTTGTATTGTGTTACCTTGTTTTTTACTGCGATATGCAGCCCCTTGTGTATCCCTTGTTGAGCCTATGATGCAATATGATAAACTGATGTCCATGTTCCCTAGAAGCCAGAGAGTGCAGAGGGCCAGCCTCCTGCCCTGGGACCCGATGGAGAGGTGAGTTGTTGCTCAGAACTGGGTTTGGGATAGAAACAATATTTTGAGATCAGTGACAGATTTGGTCTGATAAAATCCATACAATAATTTCCCCCCAAACGTTCTTACAAAGTCACCTTCTCTGCCATTAGTTCATGAAGAACAGTACAATGAACGAATGTAAGCCCCATCACCTCAACATTTAGCTAATAGGACCTTCGTTTTAATGTCCGGTAAAAGGCCATTTGCCTCATGATGTGTTGATAAGAAACTGAAAGGTATCATTGTTTCCAGGCTCCCTGCAGCAGGGTTGTACTGTTTTTCACAAGGCCACAGGAATACTTGTTTAATTTACCATGAAATGGTCATATTGGTAGGTAGTATATCACACAGTTTCCAGTCAATTTCTCACTCACTCCCTCTTCCACTCTCAGCCTCTGGATGAGACCAGTCAGATGAGTGACCTACCTGTGAAGGTGATCCATGTAGACAGTGGGAAGATCCTGACGGGTCTGGATGCGCCCCGGGCTGGCCAGCTGGACACCTGGCTGGAGATGAACCCTGGGTCAGTTAAAACACAGCTAGCTAGGAGACACACTTGTTTACCCAGACACCTAGATTGTGGGAATAATGACACGAGAGCCTGATGAATATGAAATACCATTTTCCTTTGTATAATGTTCATCCTATTCCAATCTAAATGCCTTTCACACTGTTGCATAGCCATAAGTACATAAACACTGTCATCTCAAAACAATGGCATCACAACTAATCATTTTAACCTTTCTCCTGCAGGTATGAAGTGGCTCCTCGTTCAGACAGTGAGGACAGTGGCTCAGAGGAAGAGGAGGTATGTGGCTTACAGAGACCACAATGCTCTCTCCTAACCCCCCACTATCCCCTCTAATATATGTATATCGTATTCCTCTAGTCGCTTTAAATAAATGTAAGCAGACCGCCGTGGAAGAGACCTTGCGTGTGGAGTCTGTGTTCAGAGGCGTACCACTCTTGCCTTGGGCTATCAGAAACTAGGCCAATTGCCAAGCTCAAACTAATGTAACCCTTTCTCTGCATTGTGTACTATAAAGCTTATATTAATGTAAATGAAAACATATTGTGCTGTAAATATCTTTACTGAAACAGAGATATTTTCCAGATTAATCTAAATCCTGACCAGTTCATGGGACAAGCCGTGTTCTAGTCTCCATAAAGCATATTTTATTCAGATGAGATGACATGTCTTTTGACTTGACCTTGGCTGAGACAATTTGACCAGGCTGTGTGGCGTCTGTATCTGAGTCATCCTCTTGCTCCGTACCCCTCAGGAGGAAGAGGAGGAGCCCCAGCCCTCCCAGGCTCCCACCGAGGAGAAAAAGAAGATACCAGACCCTGACACAGAGGACGTGTCCGAGGTCGACGTCCGCTACATCATCGAGGGAGCCAAGCAGGATGTGGATGATGAGTATAACAGTGCAGAGGCGGCGTTCGCCCGAGGTCTGCAGTCTTACTACGCTGTGGCCCACGCCGTCACTGAGACGGTGGACAAACAGTCCACACTGCTGGTCAACGGGCAGCTCAAACATTACCAGGTACCCAGTCTACCCACATCATCACAATAACATGATTTCCCATACTCGATGCATGCTGTAGTGTTTCATTACCTTTTCACAGTGCTTACAAGAAGTAACGTGTCAAAAAAGAAGATGACGTATTACCAGAGCCATGCACACGTGATAACAATGTGAGACAGTAGAATGACTGGTTTGTGTCCCTTTCTCCTCTAAGATCAAGGGCTTGGAGTGGCTGGTGTCTCTCTACAACAACAACCTGAACGGGATCCTGGCTGATGAGATGGGTCTGGGCAAGACCATCCAGACCATCGGCCTCATCACCTACCTCATGGAGCACAAGCGCATCAACGGCCCCTTCCTCATCATCGTGCCCCTTTCGTGAGTGCCTCTCCTTTCCGCTCTAGTCACTTCACAACTCCATTATGGACCTGGACTGCTGCAGCATTTCTGTAGTTTCAATCGAGATGTTCACCTGTGATTTTAAAAGTCTGAAAGGGCTGTTATGGGTATTTTCCACGGTCATGGATATATTTGACTTGAGGTGGACAGAGCAAATATATGTTTATCAATTTATCTCCCGTCTTTGTTTTCAGGACTCTGTCCAACTGGGTGTACGAGTTTGATAAGTGGGCTCCAACTGTGGTAAAAGTCTCTTACAAAGTGAGTAGCCCCTTTCAAAGCCTCTTCCAGGGTGAAGTTTGTTTGACAATGTCGTAGTAGGTGCTCTGCATGGACGTGAATATTCTTTGATTATAGTGTACTGTAGATGTAAAGTTGATGTGTTTTCTGGTATGTCTCTGTGCAGGGCTCTCCACAAGCTCGCCGCGCATTCCTACCCATCCTGCGCAGCGGCAAGTTCAACGTGCTGCTCACCACCTACGAGTACATCATCAAAGACAAGCAAGTGCTGGCTAAGGTAGGGACCCACTTCTTCAAATCATCCTGAGCAATAGTACACAAATACATTGACTCGTACCTTAGAAATGGCCCTAGTCAGACAGGTAAACCTATGGAAACCTCTATTTCATCTTCTAACGCCACTGTACTCGTTCCCTCTCAGCTGCGCTGGAAGTACATGATAGTGGACGAGGGCCACCGTATGAAAAACCACCACTGTAAGCTGACTGTGGTTCTGAACACCCACTACCTGGCCCCGCGGCGTCTTCTGCTGACTGGCACCCCGCTGCAGAACAAGCTGCCGGAGCTCTGGGCTCTGCTCAACTTCCTGCTGCCGACCATCTTCAAGTCCTGCACAACCTTCGAGCAGTGGTTCAATGCCCCCTTCGCCATGACCGGAGAGAAGGTGAGTTAGTCAGGGCTCTGGAGTGGTGTGTTTTGGTAAATGTGTGTGTGTTTTGGAGACATTGGGGTCATCATGGCTGGACTCTTACCCCGCTCTCTCTCGACCCTAGGTGGATCTGAACGAGGAAGAGACCATCCTGATTATCCGTCGTTTGCACAAAGTGCTCCGCCCCTTCCTGCTGCGCAGACTGAAGAAGGAAGTGGAGTCCCAGCTGCCTGAGAAGGTCAGACTCCTCTCAATCACTTGGACAATAAACATCAATCAATCGATCCTTTCAGTCCAATCAATGCAATGTTTTAACCTGTTCTCTCCCTGTGTGTGTGTTCCCAGGTGGAGTATGTGATCAAGTGTGACATGTCGGCCCTGCAGAGAGTGCTGTACAGACACATGCAGGCTAAGGGAGTGCTGCTCACCGACGGCTCTGAGAAAGACAAGAAGGTAAGGAGGAGTGGAGAACCCCCTCATTGCTCTCCATACGCCCCCTAACAACTGACTTGGGGGTCAGTTATACTGGGCTGTTTAGATGGGTACTACAGGATGACTAAGTGCACTTTTATTGTGTGTTTCAGGGTAAAGGAGGCACGAAGACCCTGATGAACACCATCATGCAGCTGAGGAAGATCTGTAACCATCCCTACATGTTCCAGCAGATCGAGGTACAGTGCAAGGCCCTACCTCAACCCTTCCATGAATTGAGAAGAGATGTTGACTGAAGTATAAGATTGTGGTTGAAGCTTTTCATTTTAACCGAATAGTTGTGACTCGTCTGTTCACAGGAGTCCTTCTCTGAGCATTTGGGATTCACTGGAGGCGTAGTGTCGGGGTAAGCAAAGCATCTGCTAATATTACATGTTGATGCTTCACAGTGTTGTGGTTGACCTTACTATGTGTGGTGTGTTTCCTCATCACCCCTCTGTTCTTGTCCCCTGCTCCCTCCAGACCTGACCTGTACCGCGCCGCTGGGAAGTTTGAGCTGCTAGACCGTATCCTGCCCAAGCTGAGGGTCACCAACCACAAGGTCCTGCTCTTCTGTCAGATGACTTCCACCATGACCATCATGGAGGACTACTTTGGCTGGCGCAACTTTAAGTACCTGCGTCTGGACGGTGAGAGGCAGGAACAGGAGAGTTATTTAGCTTGGTGCTGGGAAAATGAATTCAAGACAAATTCCAGAAGTATTTTGTACTATGAGAAATACAGTACTATGTGTAGGATTTGTTTTGTACTTACACTATGCAGTTTACTAGAACACAATGGCTCAACTTTGTGATGTGGGGAGGCTGATGTACGATCACAAGCTGAGCTCATGTTATTTGCAGAATGAAAATGTATGCACTCACTAACTGTAAGTCGCTCTGGATAAGAGCGTCGGCTAAATGACTAAAATGTAAATATCCCTCCTACTGTTGTCCTGTGGAAACTCGTAACTAACACCATTGGTCTTTGTCTCCATAGGAACCACCAAGGCTGAGGATCGTGGGATGCTTTTGAAGACCTTCAATGACCCAGCCTCTCAGTACTTTGTGTTCCTGCTCAGCACCAGGGCCGGAGGGCTGGGCCTCAACCTGCAGTCTGCTGACACCGTGGTCATCTTTGACTCAGACTGGAACCCACATCAGGTACAGCTCATTACCCTCTACTGTTCACTGTAGTATTATGATCTAGAAATCTCACTGGAGTTATTGATATAGATGTACATTTAGAAAACAGCTAGGATTAGTGGCTATTTAGGTGATTTTGTTAGGTAACATAGCCAACTCCCATGTCCTGCCCTCCCCCTAACTCCAGTCTCTCACACCTCTCTTTCTCTCTCCCTCCCCTGTACAGGACCTGCAGGCCCAGGACAGAGCCCACCGTATTGGGCAGCGGAACGAGGTGCGTGTGTTGCGTCTCTGCACCGTTCAAAGTGTGGAGGAGAAGATCCTGGCGGCAGCCAAGTACAAGCTGAACGTGGACCAGAAGGTCATCCAGGCCGGCATGTTCGACCAGAAGTCGTCAAGTCACGAGCGCCGTGCCTTCCTGCAGGCCATCCTGGAGCATGAGGAACAGGACGAGGTCGGGGCCCCGGGGGGCTGGCGCGCTGGGGGGGCGTTGGTGGGTGTGATCATGACCGTCCACCACACTACCAACCACCCACACGCCACCCTACCGTTTAATCTCTTTCTTTACTTTGTTCCCTCCTTCTCCCTACCTTTTACATTTTAGTCATTTAGCAGACGCTCTTATCCAGAGCGACTTACAGTTAGTGAGTGCATACGTTTTTCATACTGGCCCCCCGTGGAAACGAACACACAACCCTGGCGTTGCAAGCGCCATGCTCTACCAACTGAGCTACAGGGGACTAAAATACCTTCTGGATTTAGGGGCGGTTCCTTTTTTTAGGTTTGCCCTCTTTTTCTCCTTTTCCTGCTTTGTCTTAAAAAAAAAAATGTGTAACCATATTTGTTTTATTTAATGAAGCTCCTTTTCAATAACATAGTAGCCTTTTCTGACTTTTTAAACACATTTTCCCCAATACCTAGCTGGATGTCTGTTCTATCTATACTTGACAGTTAGTAGGAGCAGCAGTTTATTGGTATAAGTATGCATCACACCTATTGTAGGATATTCACTCCAATACATGACATCTGCTACATGTTACATTGCACTTTATATGATACTTACGTAACTGATAAGCATTCAAGAATTCTAGTTCAGAGACGTGGCTCTGAGGCACCACTAATAGCCCTCTGCCCTGTGCTCACCCTTTCTATTGTCTACAGGAGGAGGACGAGGTGCCTGATGACGAGACTGTCAACCAGATGATTGCCAGGAGCGAGGAGGAGTTTGACCAGTTCATGGTCAGTCCCAAAATTCTTCAAGATTTACAGTAATGTAGTCTGAGTCTTGCTTGAGGCAACTGGAGGCTTGACTGTCAATCTCCAGACTGAAGACTGCCCTGTAGACTTTGACACAACCTCAACCGTTTTTCTCTTTTCTTACACTGTACCTCCCCCTCTCCCCTCCAGCGAATGGACCTGGACCGGCGCCGTGAGGACGCCCGCAACCCCAAGAGGAAGCCCCGTTTGATGGAGGATGACGAGCTGCCCACCTGGATCATAAAGGATGATGCCGAGGTGGAGAGGCTCACCTGTGAGGAGGAGGAGGAGAAGATATTTGGTCGCGGCTCTCGCCAGCGCAAGGAGGTGGACTACAGCGACTCACTCACAGAGAAGCAGTGGCTCAAGGTCAGCTATCCAACTGTTGTAGTTGAAAAAGCTTTTAGCTAATAATTGAATGTCCTATGACTGAAATCTATGGTCTATGACCTGTAATGCAGATGTGTGGTTCCCCCTCCCACAGGCCATAGAGGACGGTAATCTGGAGGACCTGGAGGAGGAGGTGCGTCACAAGAAGACGACCCGGAAGCGCAAGCGAGACCGTGACGACATGCCCGGCCCTGCCACACCCAGCTCCAGTGGTGGTGGCGGCGGTCGCAGCCGTGACAAGGACGAAGAGGTCAAGAAGGCCAAGAAACGCGGACGCCCCCCGGCTGAAAAACTGTCCCCTAACCCCCCCTCCCTCACCAAGAAGATGAAGAAGGTGGTGGACACTGTCATCAAGTACAAGGACGGGTGAGTTGGTGGGCTCCTATGTCTGGATGACAACTCAGTGAATGTCAGCACATGCAACATACACAAACACACTGACAACCTACTTTGTCATGTAATGGTCAGAGTAGAGCATGTTGAGGTGGACTAAGCCCTGAGTTTCCCTGTTCCCCTATTTCACAGAAGCAATGGGCGCCAGCTGAGTGAAGTCTTCATCCAGCTGCCCTCCCGCAAGGAGCTGCCCGAGTACTACGAGCTCATCCGCAAGCCTGTTGACTTCAGGAAGATTAAGGTATGGCGCTAACCCATTAATATATCGGTTATAAGACCAGGGTATCGCATTCAGTAAAACTGTGCATATGGGAGGTTAGGGGACTTATAAGTCACATCTAGCTGTCCAGTCCTGATCTTCTCTATCCTGTGTTGTGCTGGTCTGATTCATATTCTGATGTCCTCTCTTCTGTTCCCCTCCAGGAGAGGATCCGCAACCATAAGTACCGCAGCCTGAATGACCTGGAGAAGGATGTGATGCTGCTTTGTAGCAATGCCCAGACCTTCAACCTGGAGGGCTCTCTGGTGAGTGTCTGGCAACATGGAGAGAGTGAGGGGAGGGGGGACCATTGTTGTTGAGCATGATAAGATAACGCTGTGGGGGGGCTGGAGTATGGAGGGCCTGTTTTACAGATCCGAGGAGACTTGTCACAACCTTTATGGTGAATCGAATGGAACCTCTCATATTCTGAAGAAATGTCACAGTAGCCTGTGCACCTGCTGCTGACATCTTATATATTTCTCTGTGGCGTCGCTCACCCCCCAGATCTATGAGGACTCCATCGTGCTGCAGTCAGTCTTTACCAGCGTCAGGCAGAAGATCGAAAAGGAGAAGGAGGAGGAGAGCGAGGGAGAGGACAGTGAGGAAGATGAGGAGGAGGTGGACGAAGGCTCTGAGTCTGAATGTGAGTGTTACAGTATTTACATATGCACTTAGTGTCATAGTCCACTGTTAAAAGGGCAATCTGCCATTCAAACAACAACCCGTCCCACCCTCCCCCCGACAGTGTCTGGTAAATAGCTGACTGATGGGGCTGTTGAAACCACTCTCAAGACTGAGCTAAGGATGCAAGGAGTGTTTGTTTACAATCACATTGTTTACAAAGGAGTAAAACAAGATTATATTTTGGGTTCTGGTGGGATGTGACAATTTAACTAAGCTCATGAGGCATTTATAACTTATATTCTTCAAGAATCAATGGGTGTATATCATTAATTTAAAAGTCCAAAAATAGATGTAGCAATCACAGATTGCCCCTTTAAACTATTGAATAATATGTTGAACTAATGTCCTTTTTAAAGAATTGTATACTCATGGATTTCTATCCATGCTTCTCTTTCTTTCTCTCTCTCCCTCTCTTTCAGCTCGTTCAGTGAAGGTGAAGATAAAGCTGGGGAGGAAGGAGAAGGAGGGCAGAGGGAAGGGCCAGCGCCGGAGGGGCCGTGGCTCCCGGGCCAAACCTGTGGTGAGCGATGACGACAGCGAGGAGGAACAGGAAGAGGTAAGACACACACACACACATTGAGACACTACTTAAACTGTCAATTTCAGCTTGCATTCAAAGCTGTCTACTGTCCTGACTGAGGTTGTGACCTCTGCTAAGCTCTTTGCACTGAAGGATGTCTAGCAACACTGATTAATGTGTTATGTAACTCAGACCAGCTGTATTTTATTTTAATTGTCTTAAACACTTACAATTTTAATTGGCAGTTTTCAGAAATGTTTTCTTAAGTGTCTACAGTAGACTATACTGGTGATCAACAAGCTGTGTTGTATTGGGTTGAAGGATTTCGTTCTTCTGTTCCAGGCGGGTTCGGCCAGCGGCAGTGAGGAGGACTGAACTGAACCACTCCTGTTCTGCGAGGACCAACGGCCCACTGAGACCCTCGACTGGAACTTATATATTTTACCTAGATTCTATAGCAGGGTGGCAAGCCAGTGGAGAGGGGCCTACTTTTACCTAGATGAGCTGATTTTTAGTGAGACAAATGTATTCCATAATTAAAATACACCATAAAATAAAAAAAAGTATTAAAAAAAATTACCACTTACATATTTAAGCAGGCAATCCTAGTATGAATAGCAGGACTGTATGTATTTTTGCCTTGTTGATTTCTCCTGAAAGTGATCAAGGTGGACAGGGTTTGATTAGCAGACTGATCGTGGACCACAGGGAGAGTTTGCAGACTTTTTAAGTGAGTTTGTTTTGTCGTCGTTTCCTTTGAGATGGAGCTGTGTGTGACCGGAGTCGCTGTGGTTTCTAAGTCCCTTGAATGCATGTCGTTTGGTCTGTGGAAATGCACCTGGGTGTGTTGTTCTATTATATCGCTGTTTAATTTAAGAATATAAGTGAGATGACGGTACGTTCCCCCTTAGGCCTTCCTCCGGCTACGAGTGAGAAGGGAAGGGCGGGACTCTCCCGCGTCTGTGTCACTGGATTCCAAAAAGTACAATAAAGGCATCTCGTAATGAAACTTTCCTCACTTATGTTGTCTTTGTTCACATTATGCGCTACACATGATTGATTTCTGTAGCCTAAATGTGCTGAATAGAATGAACTTTTAAGCCATCTTTGACTAATTGTAGTTATCTTGTATATACAGTAGATGGCCCTCTCACCTTGACCAGATGCCAGTACTGAATGCCTCTGGATGAAAAGCCATAGGTTGAAGATTTAGGTGTTTTGTTGATGTTCAGGTTGATGGTTTTGTCCTTGAGTCTGAACTGTAAACATGCTGACCACTAAATGAATGCTGCTTTGCTATGATAAGCTGAATTATATAAATTATATATTTTAGGCTACAGTGGTTTTAAAGGCTTGTAGCACTCAAGGTTGTATTTCAAACAGTGTTACTCTGGGCATGTGTGAGATTCTCCCAGGGCTTCCATGCCTCTGATCTCAGATATACACCACAGTTTCTTCCTCCACAGGTTACTCACTGACCCTGCTGTTTCCGCCTGCTCCCTCTCATACTGCTTTGTTCCAGCCATGGGCTCATGCCATAACACCTGGACAAACAGTGGAACATTTTTGAATGGATCTGCTGTAGACTAATTTTAACTGACTCTAAAGAGCTACCGTCACCCCATTAACCATGATGGCAGAAATTCTGACTGCGCTGAGACCAACCTCTGACTAGCCTTATTTTCATGTGTATATGGGTTAACATGGCCAGTTTTTATTTATTTTATTTTTTACATTGTCATTTAGCAGAAATACATTCAAATAAGAAAGCTTATTTGCTAGGAAGGGTGAAGTCGAGGTGAAATCTGGAAAAGAATGTGAGGGTTGAAACCAGGACAGAACAGATCATTGTCCAGGATTTAATTTACAGCTGGCTCCCCACAGGGGTGGAAGAACCAAGTAACCAATGGAACAGTTCCTCTCACTGCACTGTAGGCAGGCAGGCAGAGGAGATGGTCTGTTATGAACAAGAGTGCACCTCTTATGGATGGGTGTGTCATGGACGTGAGCTGTCTTGAGGGGTTGAGTGGAGGGCAAGGCGGAGGGGCTGCAACCAGTGGTTATATGTTTCAACATGTATTTACACAAGTTGTCTCACATTGTCATATCTCCAAGACTTGTGACATACGAGAGAAAGGTGGATATCAAGTTTCCACAGAAGTGACCTTGAGTGTCAGACATAAACTCTCATTTGAGGACAATGTTGTAATTTTACTGTATATCATTCAGTATCCACCCAACTTATCTCTGCCTTGTCCAAGGGCAGAACATTGTAAAACAATTCTAAAAGAGGTATGCTTCCCTCCCATTAGAAATAAAACCATGTTTTGCATTGAGATATGATTAGAGCCATATGTTTTCTGGTGTTTGACAGTTAAGTCCTGGCAATTAAATAATGGCAGTCCTCCCAGTTGGTTGGTGATGGATTCCCCTGTAGTCCACAGACGGATGTTTTGCTAGGTGAAGGCCTCGACGTGAAACATCAGACTAGGCTACATGCCAAGAATCTAGTGCTGTCCTCATTTTAACTTTATAGTGCATCTAGTGCAAGACACTCGATGTCTACACGGCATATGCTTTCCAGCTCTGTCAGGATGGATCACTGGGCCAACAGGCTCTACTGCAGCTGGAAGAACCTGATCTCTCATGTCTCCTCTCCTTTGAGGGAGAAAGGACTCTCATTCCCAGCCAACCCACTGGGCACAAACTAGTTGAATCAACATTGTTCCAATGTAATTTGTCAATGTGTTGTGATGTGGAAAATACATTGGATTTGAAAAAGTCATCAAAACTGTTGTTTTGAGGGTGAAATTTCAATCACAGGATTATGTCATCATGGTAACCAAATTCCAACAGACCAACCTTGTATAAAATATGTAGAATACCTTTAAAACAACGTCAGATCTTCAAAGTTATGTCCACTATTAGAAGAAAAAGAAAAAAATAGGCTGGGCAGCACCTCCTACTGGAGAATTTATATATCTACAGTTACCCTTTGGTCTCCCATCCAGGGTTTTAACCAAGCCCTGCTTCGCTATGTTATTTATCACTGACTACTACCGATGTGCTATCATGAGAATGATTGTTGAGGGATCTCCACCTGAAAAATGAAATACACTGAACAGAAATATAAATGCAAACATGCAACAATTTCTAGGATTTTACAGTTCATATAAGGAAACCAGTCAATTTAAATAAATTCATTAGGCCCTAATCTATAGATTTCACATGACTGGAAATACAGATATGCATCTGTTGGTCACAGATACCTTTAAAAAAAGGTAGGCGCGTGTATCAGAAAACCAGTCAGTATCTGGTGTGACCACCATTTGCCTCATGCAGCGCAACACATCTCCTTCGCATAGAGTTGATCAGGCTGTAGATTGTGGCCTGTGGAATGTTGTCCCACTCCTCTTCAATGGCTGTGCCAAGTTGCTGGATATTGGTGGGAACTGGAACATGCTGTCGTACACGTCGATCCAGAGCATCCTAAACATGCTCAATGGGTGACATGTCTGGTGAGTATGCAGGCCATGGAAGAACTGTGGCATTGTGTTGTGTGACAAAACTGCACATCTTCTGTCAGGTGGAAGGATTATCTTGGCAAAGGAGAAATGCTCACTAACAGGGATGTAAACAAATTTGAGAGAAATAAGCTTTTTGTGTGTATGGAACATTTCTGGGATCTTTTATTTCAGCTCATGAAACATGGGACCAACACTTTACATGTTGCGTTTGTATATTTATTCAGTATAGATTCACTGTTGCTATCGAAGTCATTTCAAAGGGTAGGTTTAACAGAGCAAATTAAATGTGACCATACTTTATCACTCATATAACATCATTGATGCTGTTTAGGCCTATATAGCATTTGTAATGTTATCAACAGTTATTGTTTCAATTCAACCCAGAATTCAACAAAAAATAGACAGTACAATGGGCCTAGGGTTTCAAGCTCTGGTTGATTTCAAATGTAATGATATTTTGTGATATTGAATTGTGTTCGGTTGTCAATGCACTCAAATATCAACATTTGAAGGAGATGTATATTTTGCTTGGATAGCTCCATCTGTGCCACTGGTTTAGTCTGGCTTTATTTCCAGTTTGTCTGCAAATTAATAATTGATATGTTGGATTCACGTCTCCATCTTAACCAAAAATCTAAGTGTGTGAATCTGACAATTTTCCTGTCCTGCTAAGCATTCAAAATGTAACTAATACATTTTGGGTGTCAGGGAAAATGTATGGAGTAAAAACTACATTATTTTCTTTAGGAATGTAGTGAAGTAAAAGTTGTCAAAAATATAAATAGTAAACTAAAGTACAGATACCCCCAAAAATGACTAAAGTAGTACTTTAAAGCATTTCTTCTTAAGTACTTTACACCACTGTTGTCCTCGTTGTTTACATAGGCTGCAGTGGGAGGGACTGAACATGGTGAGATGCTGTGGGGGGTGGAGAGATGGGTTAGTTGGCAGTGGGGATGGTGCACTTTCTGGTTTCAGGTGAAAATAGGATAGGGTGAGATGCTCACCTTACCTGTACTCTGAATTAGTGGCTTAGTTCCTGCTCTTGAAGGACTGTGTTATAGGAAGCTGAATAGAATAGCTGATATCTGAAGAATGCTTTTCCCTGCAATGAGACATATCTGCTTAATCAGCATTCCAGTAGCGGGAGCACTGAGGGCAGCACAATTAGTGACAGTCTCATTAGGCACTTCTGTGGTTCTCCTTTACACAGTTTCGGAAGCTTTCATTCCCCATGGCGGGCTATTCAAGGGCCAGTCACTGAGAGGACTGTGTAAAGGAGAGGACTGTGTAAAGGAGAGGACTGTGTAAACTGTGACTGTCAACTCCTATTAATGGTCTCAAATGTAGGTTAGCTTTCTCAGAATCCATGTGAAGGAAATACATCTCAATCCTGGTGTAAAAACCAATTAGCAATGATTATTTTGTAAGGTATTGTAACATGAAATTGAATTGTTACTCTTTCATCTTGATGTAGTGTAGTATGATCCAAATCTGTCTGACATAATCTTGATTACATCTGTGTTACCACTCCCTAATACTAAATAAAACACCATTACATCTGTGTTACCACTCCCTAATACTAAATAAAACACCATTGCTTCAGAAGGAGAGGATAATAGCTGTGTAATTTGCTGTTGGCATTATCATCAAAGCCTTGGCTTCTCCTGCTATCTTACAGTGGGGGAAAAAGTATTTAGTCAGCCACCAATTGTGCAAGTTCTCCCACTTAAAAAGATGAGAGAGGCCTGTGATTTTCATCATAGGTACACGTCAACTACAGTGGTGAAAAAAAGTATTTAGTCAGCCACCAATTGTGCAAGTTCTCCCACTTAAAAAGATGAGAGATGCCTGTAATTTTCATCATAGGTACACGTCAACTATGTCAGACAAATTGAGAAAAACAATTCCAGAAAATCACATTGTAGGATTTTTAATGAATATATTTGCAAATTATGTTGGAAAATAAGTATTTGGTCACCTACAAACAAGCAAGATTTCTGGCTCTCACAGACCTGTAACTTCTTCTTTAAGAGGCTCCTCTGTCCTCCACTCGTTACCTGTATTAATGGCACCTGTTTGAACTTGTTATCAGTATAACAGACACCTGTCCACAACCTCAAACAGTCACACTCCAAACTCCACTATGGCCAAGACCAAAGAGCTGTCAAAGGACACCAGAAACAAAATTGTAGACCTTCACCAGGCTGGGAAGACTGAATCTGCAATAGGTAAGCAGCTTGGTTTGAAGAAATCAACTGTGGGAGCAATTATTAGGAAATGGAAGACATACAAGACCACTGATAATCTCCCTCGATCTGGGGCTCCACGCAAGATCTCACCCCGTGGGGTCAAAATGATCACAAGAACGGTGAGCAAAAATCCCAGAACCACACGGGGGGACATAGTGAATGACCTGCAGAGAGCTGGGACCAAAGTAACAAAGCCTACCATCAGTAACACACTACGCCGCCAGGGACTCAAATCTTGCAGTGCCAGACGTGTCCCCCTGGTTAAGCCAGTACATGTCCAGGCCCGTCTGAAGTTTGCTAGAGTGCATTTGGATGATCCAGAAGAGGATTGGGAGAATGTCATATGGTCAGATGAAACCAAAATATAACTTTTTGGTAAAAACTCAACTCGTCGTGTTTGGAGGACAAAGAATGCTGAGTTGCATCCAAAGAACACCATACCTACTGTGAAGCATGGGGGTGGAAGCATCATGCTTTGGGGCTGTTTTTCAGCAAAGTGACCAGGACGACTGATCCGTGTAAAGGAAAGAATGAATGGGGCCATGTATCGTGAGATTTTGAGTGAAAACCTCCTTCCATCAGCAAGGGCATTGAAGATGAAACGTGGCTGGGTCTTTCAGCATGACAATGATCCCAAACACACCGCCCGGGCAACGAAGGAGTGGCTTCGTAAGAAGCATTTCAAGGTCCTGGAGTGGCCTAGCCAGTCTCCAGATCTCAACCCCATAGAAAATCTTTGGAGAGAGTTGAAAGTCTGTGTTGCCCAGCGACAGCCCCAAAACATCACTGCTCTAGAGGAGATCTGCATGGAGGAATGGGCCAAAATACCAGCAACAGTGTGTGAAAACCTTGTGAAGACAAACAGAAAACGTTTGACCTGTGTCATTGCCAACAAAGGGTATATAACAAACTATTGAGAAACTTTTGTTATTGACCAAATACTTATTTTCCACCATAATTTGCAAATAAATTCATTAAAAATCCTACAATGTGATTTTCTGGGAAAAAAAATTCTCATTTTGTCTGCCATAGTTGACGTGTACCTATGATGAAAATTACAGGCCTCTCTCATCTTTTTAAGTGGGAGAACTTGCACAATTGGTGGCTGACTAAATACTTTTTTCCCCCACTGTATTTCCAGCTACTGTGTGTAACTAGATCCTCAAATCTGATATGAAGCCACTATTAGATTACAGTTTTTAGCTTGTTCAATTTGGTCCGAAATAGGACAGGGAGCTTTAGTCAGTTACTGGTTGGCAGAGACATGGCAGGATGTCATACTAATACTGGTCGGGTAGCAGACCCATGAGAACTAGAACAGTTTGACTACTTGTTTTGCTATTATGTGTGTTGTCACGTGTTACCGCTCTGACCATGAGGGAAAAACACAGTCGTTTGGCTGTGGCGTTTTTGTGTTTTGTATAAGAGATGGTGCGTCATTGCACACTGATGGACATTGGATAGATCAATATCAAAATAGATAGAGCAAGTACAAACTAGAAGAGAATTAGCCCTCAAGGCCATCATGATAGACCTGATCACATGTTCTGTGCTTATTGTCTGAGGGAAGTTCTGCAACCAAATTGTTTGTCTGGAATCAATTAGATTCTTCACTTGAAAGTTATATTTCATTCAAACCCCATCTGAATTTAGGAATTAAGTGTGGTGTTGGCTTGCTGAATTAAATGCTAGAGCTTTGTGTCTACCCACACAACACGGTTTGTTGCATTTTGTTCATTTTGTGTTGTTGAGGTTAGTTCATGGGAACTGTAATAGTTTTGTTTGTTGAATAATCTATGCCCTTGTGTCAAAGGACTCTCTCTGTATTCCTGTTACATGCTCCTGAAACCCTGGTTCAAGGCTATATGCCATCACGCTTTCTCTATTTTCAAACTTTGTCTTGTACTTGCTTGACACGTGCCTGCGTATCTTCACAGGACTTGAGAACAATTGAGAATTTGAAGTCAGACCTTTGGTCATGTGCAGCTCATAAATTCCTTTTGGAAGGTGAGGTTCAACCCTCTTTGTTATTGAAGACAGGAAATTAGCTGATAATATCATTATTATATACCTCATTAATGGCTTTATGGCAGGTTCACTAACATCCTATTTATTTTTATTTATCTTTTCCCCCACTCAGTTCTGTTGTATTTCATAGGGACAACCTCTGTTTGTGTCGAGGAACCCCAACAGCCTGTCATTTTCTGTTTGTGTCTGGATTGAGCTGAGTTATGAAAATGTATAGTTTTATCAAAATGTCACAAGTTAGTTTTACTGAGATATGTAGAACCTATCACTATTAAGAATCACATTTATAGTTACCACTTTTACCAACTCCACGGAAAAGCAAGCAAACATGTTTTGACCAAAACTTCTGAGAATCTTTATCTATTGTTTTGACCAGGGAGATTCTGCTTTTGAATACTTAGAAGCGCCTGTCAGAATGGGTTTTTGACAAATATTGGTACGTCTAGGCCTGCCTCTTGTGTGTGTGTGTGTGAATGTGTGTGTGTGTGTGTGTGTGTGTGTGTGTGTTCGTGCCTGGAGCTTCAAGAATGAACTCAAAATACACACACACACGCACACACAAAGGGTAAACCGTAGTAAAATAGATCGTATGAAGACACGCCTCTCGATAGTGAGGCTCTGTATTCCAGAGATCACACCACTCCAAACCCCGCCCTACGCTTCTTGGGCTCCTCCCATTCCGGCCCACTCCTGGACCAATTGAAATTGGTCTGATGTGCAACATTATTACACTGTCAGGACATCTTGCCTAGCCTCTCGTCCCAATGGCATCTGAATCCAAACATAAGAGCGAGGAACGGATAGTGGAAGCATGACTTTAAAATAAAACAATGTTTAACTGGTAAAGGAGCTGTATCATAATCCTTATTGAAAGTCACGAGTCAAAGTGTAATCTTTTAACAATTGTCTGCACACTATGTGGCGGCTGCTGTGCGTGCTGTTGGTGTTCCTGGCTTGCTGTTTTGTCCAAACAAGTAAGTATCTTCTATTCTAACATAGGTCTACTCTAGTGTATTGTCAACTTCTGAATAATTCCCAATTAATTTGGCTTATTTGTTATTTGGACCCTTAATGCATAGTGGCAAAGTAAGTCTATTTTTAAACATAGTCTACCTTCTTGTAAAATATTATGTCTATCGTAAATGGCGATTTTGGATCTATTTGAAATGTTTAAATAGCCCTCTCTCTGACTTCGCCTGATGCATCACGATGGGGGAGGGGGCTAGTTATTTGTAGAATGTAGGTCAAATTTGTGTTGCATCTTGAAGAAGCTGCGATAATATTTTGCAAACCAAATAGTTTCTTATTATCACAACACAATGTGTGGGCGATTGTTTATTTTATTAGTGCACTCCCATTTACACTTAGATACATTTACATTATAAAAATTTTTCGGACATTTGAAATAATTAACTACATTCACTGCCTCTGATTCGTTGTTGGCCATCCGTGGCCAATCAGATTTGAGAATGTACAACAAGACGTTTCGGAAAGCCCCGCCCTACGCTTCTTGGGCTCCTCCCATTCCCGCCCACTCCTGGACCACATTGAAATTGGTCTGATGTTGCCAAACATTATTACACTGTCAGGAGCATCCTTGCCTAGCCTCTCGTCCCAAGCGCATCTGAATCCAGAACATAAGAGCAGAGGAACGGAATAGCTTGGAAGCAGTGACTTTAAAATAAAACAATAGTTTTAACTTGGTAAAGGAGCTGTATCATAATACCTTATTGAAAGTCAGAGTAAAGTGTAAATCATTTTAACAATTTGTCTGCACACTATGTGGCGGCTGCTGTGCGTGCTGTTGGTGTTCCTGGCTTGCTGTTTTGTCCAAACAAGTAAGTATCTTCTATTCTAACATAGGTCTACTCTAGTGTATTGTCAACTTCTGAATAATTCCCAATTAATTTGGCTTATTTGTTATTTGGACCCTTAATGCATAGTGGCAAAGTAAGTCTATTTTTAAACATAGTCTACCTTCTTGTAAAATATTAAGTCTATCGTAAATGGCAATTTTGGATCGATTTGAAATGTTTAAATAGCCCCCTCTCTGACATCGCCTGATGCATCACGATGGGGGAGGGGGCTAGTTATTTGTAGAATGTAGGTCAAATTTGTGTTGCATCTTGAAGAAGCTGCGATAAAATTTTGCTAAACAAATAGTTTATTATCACAACACAATGCGTGGGCGATTGTTTATTTTATTAGTGCACTCCCATTTACCCTTAGATACATTTACATTATAAAAAATGTTCGGCCCATTTGTATGAATGAACTACATTCACTGCCTCTGATTCGTTGTTGGCCATCCGTGGCCAATCAGATTTGAGAATGTGCAAAAAGACGTTTCGTAAAGCCGGTTGTTGAATAGGAGCCGGGCGAGGCATTTTACAGTTTTGCATTATTGTACAATATTTTTTTGGGAAGACAATTATTTTGTTAGTAGGCTATTGTTATTTTAAAGCTATAGTCCTTCATTGCTATTTCAATTTTAGGACTTATAAATTAAAGGGATACTTCGGGATTTTGACAATGAGGCCTTTTACTTCCCCAGAGTCAGATTAACTCTGGATACCATGTGGCCAGTATGAAGGAAGTTAGAGGTAGTTTAGCGAGCCAATGCTAACTAGCATTAGCGTAATGACTGGAAGTCTATGGGTATCTACCTAATTATACTCATTGATTCTGGAAGAATATCTACATACCTAATGAGCTTAGTTCAACTATTGTACCCCCATCAGAACTCAAAATAGTTTTTTCCTCCAATATTTGTAAACAACATAGGCTAAATGTAAACAAATCCTGTATAGCCTCAAAACACAGTTAAAATTAGAATTCTGATATCATGGGGTCCATCTCCCTCAGCGTTTTAAATCCATTACCAAAACAGAGGTGGGGTGCTTTAAAGTGCAAAAATCTTCCAAATTCAGGTACAGTAGTTTCCAAATGAATTATTGTATAATTAGGCTACATAGCAAGGCTGCAATAAACTAAATGTGTTCTCCTCAACTGATGCAATAACCAGTCACATTGCAATCTAGACCCTCTGTTGTTCCCTCACATTTTTAACATTTCATTCTCCCCTCACGTTTTTGACCCTTTCATGATGTATTGATGGCCCTATGGCATCATTGTGGTGGGGCCCCCTGAGAATTAAAGGAATCCCTCTTGCCCACCTCCAAAAAGCATGACTTTCATGTATTTCTCTTGAGGCAACATTCCAACGTATTGGTTCAACACCATCTGCCCTGTATGCAATAACTTCCAGTGTTAGTGTTGGGGCCAGTATGGAAATGTTTGGAAAAAAGTGCCAGGAACGTGTTATAACTGGCTCTCACACTCCTATCCATTGACACAACAGAGTTGTGTTGTTGTGAGAGCATCAGCAGTCTGAAACGGTCTGCGCTCATTCTCACACTATCCATTGCCTTATCAGGTGGAGCGGACATCCCTCATGTTGCGCCATCTGTAACATGCTGATATATTGAGAATGTGACATCGAATGGTGACATCGAATGGGAGACTCACACTGGGAACTTGATTCAAACTCTTTGCAAATAATTAGAAAGAATACCGTTTTTGCCTTGACATTTTCTGAGGGCCTAAATGGAGAATACTGAGCGATAAATACAAGTAGTTGCAGAATGACATGCCCCATCTAAAAAAAATCTGTTCCATCATCTATTTAGAAAGTGGTACTGATTAACACTGTAAGCCTCAGCAAATCACTTTAACATACTGTCTGTGAACCATGTCCATGCCTTCTAATTGTCACATTAAGAGATTTTGACTTTATTAGCCAGCTTCAGCGCCTCATCAAACAGTGGGCAGAGCTGTTTCCTCTCATCCAGCTTGTCCTGATAGGGGACGATAGATCAATTAAACACACCACACATCAGAGGACAGACAAAACAAACAAGTATGCCACGTTTCGTTTATCCCCAAGGTTAATCAGTAAACCTTGTCAGTCTGAGCCTTTGATGGACTGAACTTTAAGCCTAACCAAATGTTATAGAAGGCAGGGCATTTGACTGCATCTGACCATCATTTCTCTCTGGGAATGAGGACAGGTGGATATGATAAAGAGAGAGACGTTGATAGTTTTGAATTAGAGTTTGCAGGTATTAAGCCAATATACTCAACTGGCCATAGAGGGTAAAGGAAAGTGGCATATTTTGTTCATTGTGTGATTTACCAGAACGCAAACTGTTTTCCAAGGGATGACAGTGTGAAATTTGATCACATCTGGGTATTCGCTTATGTTCTCTCTCAGTTGTGCGGGTATTCATTCAGGTGTTGTTTTGCTCTTATTTTGTGGCTTGTCTTGTTCACTCACAAGGGGACTCTATAGATAAGACAACCAGGTTAGATAAGATTAAAGTCACTAATGATAAAAACCTTTAAAGAAAGGGAGTCCACATGGAAGAGGGTCCACCACTACAGCCGCCCATAGTACACTCTTACATGGGGACAGCTGGGTCCAGAACTGGAATAGCGGTAATCTGTTGTGTAGCTGTGGAGACATGGTGAATGAGGACATTGACTTCTCATGTTCATAGTGTTTGTTCACAGAGTTATATCTGTGCTAGATGGCCGCATTTAATTTCCATCAACTTTCCCAGATCTGCTGTTGACATCTGTTGAATAGAACGGACCGAAAAGCAACAGAACTGTGCTGTCACAGTTTAAGACCAACATATCTCAGTAAAAGAAATGTAGGCCAAACTATGAGCCTTCTCTTAAATGAGCATAAATTGTTCAATCTTTCCAAATTCCCTTATTTACATCCTTGAAGTAACATGGTACTGCAATTCAGTAGGTATTATTGTTCCTGAATCCAAAACAGTTGGTGAGTAACTAAAGGTTCACCTCACCCAGGAACAGAAAACTGTCCTGTTTTGGTCAGTGAAAAGAGCACCTAGCCCACTATTGTCTCTAGTGTTATTATCATGCGAACCTTCCGCTTGACCCAATCAGCTACCAGTGGTGTGATTCAAGCTCCTCCCTCTGGTCAAGCTCCACCCTCTGGCTCGTATCAGAAACAGGTGTCCATCCAGTGTTTTGAGGCCTAAGTGCAGGATAAGGAATTCCCAGGGGTACCTGGACTCTGCTGTGAGTGCTCTCTGTGGCCAGGGGCACTGATGTACAGTACAGTGTCTTAATTGGTTCTTCCAGTTCACTAACTAGGGTGATTTAGATAGGGGGTTAGGTGGAGAGCTGTAGGTGGTCTAGAATGTCTTTGTTTGATGGATGAACAGCATTCAGAACTGCATGGAGGATAATTCAGATGTTAAGGAGAACATAACATCAGCCAGTACTGTATGTCTACGGTCTCTTTTCATTTGTCTTCAGTCACCACCACCCAAATACTGACAAAAATCTACGTTCTCCACTACCAATGGCAGGTGTAAATATTAGTGTGTGTGAGTGTGTGTGCATGTGTGTGTGCATGTGTCAGTGTGTTTGAGTTGTAGATTCTCCACATTCCTCCTCTATAGGCAGGTTGGAATTTGCATGTGTATGTGTCTGTACATGTGTAAGTGTGTATGTTGAAAGGGAGAGGGTCATAATGGGCCTCTCTCTCCCATCCCCCTGCTTCTTTGTCAATGTGTTACCAGCATCCCAGCCATAGCCCACTGAACAGCCAGCCCCTCCCCCACTCACTGTCACATATGAATGCACGCTGGGAAACGAGACCCACCAGACACAACCTGCTCTGGCACTTCTGTTTTTACTCTATACATTCTGATTTATGGTCTTTTCAAGTATTTGCCTCAGATAACATCCACAGAGTTACAGAAAACAGACACTTTTTCCTTTTCCTGTGGTTTACTGTGGTGTCAGGAAACAGGTGTTCAAAGAATGTGTTGTGTTCTTGACTGACCTTACAGTATGTAGATGATAAAGCACAGCAGAGAATTACCACTGGTGGTCCTATCCTGCTAAGGCTTTGCAGTGCTATTGGCTTGCCATGCAACCCCTCTCGGGAAAGCGTCTGATTTGTGTGCTATGCCAGTTACCCAGAAATAAATAGAACAGCATTTGGTTTCATTCATGAGAGCTTTATTGTCCCATTATACAATGTGTCTGGGGTTGTAAATGTTAGTCAGTTAAATGCTCCATAAATCCCATTTCGATTTTTAGATTTTGTTGTTCACCAGAATGAATAGTCATGGACTGACCATGTGTGTACGTCTATTTTTCCCTCATAGATGCAGAGACAACATGCGGGACCAGGCAGTTCCTGTGTGGGAACGGGAAGTGCATTACATTGAGATGGGTGTGTGACGACACAGATGACTGTGGAGACGGCACTGACGAGCTCCCCAGAACCTGCTGTGAGTAACACATACCGCCATAGCTAATTGGAATACAATAGAGTAATGAACCACACTTATAGTTCAACATCTTTTTCAGTTTCAGTCACTGATGGTTGTTCTCTCTTTTCTGTTGCACCTGTAGTGGCCAGAACATGCAGACCCACAGAGTTTAGCTGTGGTGGCCGTCTGAACCAGTGTGTTCCCAGTACCTGGCTCTGTGACGGCAAAGCAGACTGTGAGAATGGAGCTGATGAGGAGAGCTGTGGTGAGTGGTCCTGTCTTCTCCACTCTCTGTTGTACCCTTCTCCCCTAACTCACCTCCTAACATTTCCCCTTCTCTCAATCTACTCTCTCTTTTCCCTCTCAGTCCCATACTTTCCCAACTGATATAAGCCTGACAAATGAGGCTCCACTCTAACACACCTGTCTCTGTTCCTCCCACAGCGCCCAAGCACTGCACAGATAACGAGTTCCGCTGCAGTAACGGCCAGTGTGTGTCGGCCTCCTTTGTGTGTGATGAGGAGTTGGACTGTGATGACGGGAGCGACGAGGTTTCCTGCCCACCCGCCACCTGTAGCTTCACCTCCTTCCAGTGCAACAACTCTGTGTGTGTGCCGCGCCTGTGGGCCTGCGACGGAGACGTCGACTGCTCGGATGGCTCCGACGAGTGGCCGCAGAACTGTGGGACGCGGGCCCCTGAGGGTGCCACCAAGCCCTGCTCCACTCGGGAGTTCCACTGTGGCAGCGGGGAGTGTATCCACAGCAGCTGGAAATGTGACGGAGGGTTCGACTGCCTGGATCGCTCTGACGAGACCAACTGTAGTGAGTACATTCTCTCTCTCTTATTACCGTTTTATTACTGTTGTTAGCTATATTTGGTTTAATATTCTCTGTTTCAAGGTTATATGTAAGTTGCATATGGATTTAAGTTGCATATGGATTTCTCACTGACCTCTCCTTCTCTCCATAGGCCGCCTCACTTGCCGCCCCGATGAGTTCCAATGTGGTGATGGCACCTGTATCCACGGCAGCCGCCAATGTAACCGCCAGTACGACTGCAGAGACTTGAGTGATGAAATAGGCTGTGTCAATGGTAGGCTCCTGCCCCACCTTAAGCTACTAACTCTGCTTCTACTACTGTGACCTACTGGAATGGTAGGACTACCTTTGTGTTATACTCACACTCTCCTCTCCTCCACAGTGAGCCATTGCAAGGGCCCCACCAGGTTTAAGTGCCGTAGTGGGGAGTGCATCAGCATGGAGAAGGTGTGTGACAAGCAGCGCGACTGCAGGGACTGGTCAGATGAGCCTCTCAGAGAGTGTGGTGAGCGTGAAGATGGAACATGTACTTAGGGGGAATATTGTTTGGCCTGTGGTTAGCTTCTCACGTAAAATTAGTTGGATGGAAACCCTGGGAATGCTATCTAGCTGTGGTTGCTGAGAAAAAGGAGGAGTTGTGGACTGGTGTGGTGAACTGTCACTTTTCTCTCCTCCCTGCAGACTCCAACGAGTGCCTGTACAACAATGGCGGCTGCTCACACATCTGCAATGACCTGAAGATCGGCTATGAGTGCCAATGCCCCAGCGGTTACTACCTGACGGACAAGAAACGCTGTGAAGGTAAAACTCCTTACCGCTATACCTGCATGTGTGTCCACAGAGCCCAAAAAGGTTGGCTCAATCGGCAGCCATATTGGATCTGATGTCCTGTGCCAATGTGGACTTCAGACTGTACATCCTTTAGGACTAGTGCCAGGCCATGTGGCCATTGATGCCTTTGCCTTAGTTCAATCCTGTATGGCAGTGAAAAGCTGGTGATAGTGGGGTGAGAAGGTCTCTGTCCTGACTGGGCCACTTCCCTGTGGAGCCATGATGACTCAGTGCTGTTACTGTCACACCACCTTTGTCTGACCCTACGCCAACTGTTTACCTTATCCAACACTGTGTCCAGTTACACAGACGTCATATGTGACATCTGTCCTGTACCTCTTCCCACAGATATCGATGAGTGTGCCAGCCCAGACATCTGCAGCCAGATCTGTGTCAATCACATGGGCAGCTACAAGTGCGAGTGTGAGGAGGGCTACCAGGTCGACCCAGCCACCAAAGCCTGCAAGGCCATCGGTAAGTATCGGACCTAAGAAAGACTGAATGCTTACTTTGCTGAAGTTTATTTTTAAATTGTCATGGGTCATGCATTGCAGTAATTGGAACGATACTCTCTCGTCTGATCACACAGGCACTGTAGCCTATCTGTTCTTCACCAATCGCCATGAGGTGAGGAAGATGACACTGGACAAGAGTGAGTACACCCGTGTCATCCCCCGCCTGAAGAACGCAGTGGCTCTGGACATGAACATAGTTGCCAAGGAGATTTACTGGTCTGACCTCTCCCAGAAGAAGATCTACTGGTGAGCAAAGCTTCCATGTTTTCTTTATCCATAGAGCCCTGTTGTAGGCCTATTGCTCCCAGTGATATCTTAATAATAATAATATGCCATTTAGCAGACGCTTTTATCCAAAGCGACTTACAGTCATGCGTGCATACATTTTTGTGTATGGGTGGTCCCGGGGATCGAACCCACTACCTTGGCGTTACAAGCGCCGTGCTCTACCAGCTGAGCTACAGAGGACCATATCTTGATGATGATGATAATTAGAAGGATATATTTTCTCTCTATTTTCCACCCTTCTCCTACAATCCAGCACCTCCATGGACTTGGCTGCAGACACAGCTCAGCACAGAGTTGTGATTGGCAGCGACATCGAGGCTCCTGAAGGTATCGCCTTTGACTGGGTCCACGGCAACATCTACTGGACCGATAGTATCCGCAGCAGCATCTCCGTGTCAACCGCCAATGGGAGCCGCCGCAAGACTCTCTTCCAGAATGACCTGGCCAAGCCCCGCGCTATCGTGGTCGACCCCCACAGCAAGTAGGTCCCACACTGGCTTCAGCAATGAGCATAATAACTGAAACATTGAGTCTACACAGGATATTTATTGAATGATGACATGCTTCAATAAATGTGCTCTCCTGCCCTCCTAGCTTCATGTACTGGACTGACTGGGGAACTCCAGCCAAGATTGAGAAGGGAGGTCTGAACGGAGGAGACCGTGCTGCTCTGGTCACAGACGACATTGTGTGGCCCAATGGAATCACCCTTGGTGAGCACTTTCATAACTTCCTACCTTTGTTTGTGTGGGTGCGCATGCATAACTGTGTGTGTGTTTCTGCATGGTCACTCTGGTCTGACTAGTTTCTCTTGTCCTCTCGCCTGGTCAGACCTGCTGAACCAGCGGCTGTACTGGGTGGACTCCAAGCTGCACACCCTCTCCAGTATTGACGTCCAGGGTGGCGGCCGAAGGACACTCATTATAGATGAACACAGGCTAGCCCATCCCCTAGGCATCACTGTGTTTGAGGTGAGCGCCAAAATCATAACTTTAACTTTCAAATGAGGCACTATGAAAATTAAGTCTGAAAACAACCATATATTCCATATGTTTATGCAGAGATAAGAAATGTTATAATGGAGTATTGTGTGTGTAGGAAAGAGTGTTTTGGACAGATGTCAGCAATAATGCCATTCTGAGTGCCAACCGTGTGACGGGCAGGGACATCAAGCCTGTGGCAGAGCACCTGGCATCCCCAGAGGACATTGTGTTGTACCACAACCTCAAACAGCCAACTGGTATGTATCAAGTCTCTCAGCTTTTAATATTCCCATTGTTAGTTAGATCAGTAGTTTGTATATGCAAGAGTAGCCATGGAGTTAGGCACTAATGTGTTTTGGCATGATGGTTGCACCTCAGGGATGCATTTTATTCAAAGTGTTATTTTTGTGTCTGGAGCCTCAGACTACTACAATTAAGTTACACTGCTGCAGTAGCATAGCAATAGCAATGTGCTTTTTATTGAGACAAACCAGTACCCAGACTTAATCCCCTCCTCCCCTCTGCCCCACTCCAGGCAGGGACTGGTGCAAGGTGGCCAACGGAGGCTGTGAGTTCATGTGTCTGGCAGCCCCCCAGGTGGGCATACATTCCCCCAAGTACACCTGTGCATGCCCTGACAACATGCTGCTGGCCAAAGACATGAGGAAATGTGTACCAGGTATATATCTAGCTAGCACCCTAAGCCTCTCTATGTAGTATAACACAGGGGAAATATATAATCCCTTGCTTCCTGTATAATCTCTAACCTAAGTGTTTTCTGTGTATTCACCAGCTGCACCAACACCTGCAGCTCCAGTCAAGCCCAATGTTCCAGCCACCAACCCCCCACCCCCACCGGCACCCGCCCGCACCTCCCCTGCACCTCCAGCCCGCGCCACCACTAAGGCCCCCATCATCACTACCACAGTTACACCTGCACCTCCCCGCACTACCAAGCCTGTGCCACGCAACCCCCAGCCTGCCCAGCCAGATAAACCCAGGATCCCCCAGGCCCATACTACCACAGTGCCTCAAGTCACCACTCAGGGTAAGCATGAGTTGAATGTGTGCTCTCACTAAATGCAGTAGTTATCAGCAATGAATATATATTTTTAAAGATTAAACTTTCCTGGAACGTCGTACTTTGACAGGATGTATCATTGATCTAAATGTTTCTTGTTTTTCCCTTCAGACTTCCGCCATGAATTTGCTGCTCTACCCACAGTCCCTTCAACCCCTGCAGCTTTATACATTGCTCTGCCTATAGGTAAGTTGCTTTAACATCACTGACTTAGACACACAGTTAGTTAGAATTATTCTTACACAACAGTGATGTTAAAACCCCACTTTAGCATCAACAAATCCCCTCTAACCCCTCTCTCTCTCTCTGTCTCTCAGCCATTGTGTGTCTGGTGGCCTTTGGTGCCGCGCTGCTGTGGAGGAACTACAGGCTGAAGAACACTAACACCATTCACTTTGAAAACCCAGTCTACCAGAAGACCACTGAAGACCAGGTGCACATATGCAGGAGCCACAGTCCAGATGGCTACTCCTACCCACCGGTAAGAGGCCAATCTGTCATACACAGTCAATCTCAATGTCACTTGGAGTATGCTAGTGTTTTTGAAGTATTAGCATAGGGATATGTAGCCTATGGTATGTTGTAGCTGTAGTTCAGTGACCTAATGTATTCATCTTTGTTTCCTTCCCCTCAGAGACAGATTGTGAGTCTTGATGATGAGGCTTGACAGTCGTACTGACGTTCCCTGCCAACACAAACGCTTTAAGAGGAGAGAGCAGAGGAGTAAGAGAGACATGTTATATAAGCTACCTGGACAATCTTTTTTTTTTTTTTTTTACCTCACAACCTCAAAGACATAAGAAGCCAGAGAAAGTGTCATACCGCTGACCAAATCACTGTGTGCTCAAAGACAAATGGAACCTCTGGATAGAAAAGCAGGAAGAGGAGGAAGATTTCCCATCCAGACTTTCTTGCCCATTTGTGCACAATCCAGAGCCATAAGAGACCATCAACTCATCTCCACCAAGCTTGGGTTTTATTGGCCCATTATACACTATAGTATTTTTTCTCAGAGACAATTTGTCTGAACTGTGAAATATCTTACAAATGGAGGACTCTCCAGAAGTTGAACCATGAAAGAACAGTAATGTAATTGTAATATTTGAGTGTTTTGTGAAGAAGTGCCCTTGATATATGAGATGACTGCAACTTTATTGAACACCACTTAGAAATGAGAAAGTTCTCTCTTTCTTGCTACGTAGAATTCAGAAATGAGGGATTGTAAATAACGTAGGTATTTATTGACAAAATGTTGAGAAATAATGAGCGGATCATATCTTGCACTATGTCTAGACTAATTTCTTTGTTCCTAAATTGTTTTAATAACAAAATCAGACCTGAGCCACTTGTTGAAATGAAACCCTTTGATACTGAATGTCGTCTTGAATTCTATACATGTGCCAATTTAACCGCTATATCATCACCAGACAGGGATAAAGTCAAATCATAGCTTTTTATACCAATCGTCCACATTGCCTCACTAGTGGAGCACTATCCAAATGGATGGTTAGACACACTAACGCTTATACTGTATGTCTATGTGCCTTGGTAACACTATTGCTGTGGGAACATTCCATTTCCCTTTTATGGTGTTTAATTGCAAGCCAAGAGAGTAGATTTAGGACAGTCTGTTCGAGATGTATCTTTCTCATTTTCTCCCTTGTCTAACTTTCTGTCACCCCCTCCTTCTCAAGCTTCCCGTTCTCTCAGCCCAACCGTTTGAGAGCAGTATATAATTGTGTAATTCTTACTATGACAGAAAGCCTTAAAACATTGGGTCATGGGACCATGTGACCATTGGAGCCATGTTCATTTGACTGTGTCATGCAACAGTAGTACACAGACTACACTCTTAGAAAAAAGGGTGCTATTTAGAACCTTAAAGGGTTCTTCAGCTGTCCCCATAGGAGAACCCTTTGAATAACCCTTTTTGGTTCCACGTAGAACCCTTTTGGGTTCCATGTAGAACCCTTTCCACAGAGGGTTATACATGGAACCCAAAAGGGTTCTACCTTGAACCAAAAAGGGTTCTACTATGGGGACAGCTGAACCCTTTTTTTAAGAGTGTAGCATCTTCATGTCTTCATTCAGGTTCAGAAACATAAGTTGCCTTTTAATGGTTTTCACAGCATTGTTTACTGGAGAGAGTTTTATGTAGATTTATTTGACTAAGTAAAAACTGATTATGACAGTTCTAGGTATTGGAATAGAAGCCGTCCAAGTGCATTATATATCATGCTGATAACCTTTTAACCAGATGATTTATTCAAATACTAAGGATGGTGCTGAGGTGGCTTTAGGCCACAATGTTTCACATGTCTTTCTCTGAGATCAGAGTGAAATTGTGTCTAACTGTTTACAATTAAATGTGTTTGACATTGAGGATGTGACAGTGTTACAGGCATTACACAGAGAGCGAGTTTGGGGTAATTACATATGGCCTAAGCCTAACAAAGACATTATTGTTGAGTCAGTGAAAGTGTTTGTTTATGTTTATGAAAGTTTTTTTTATGTGGGGTTGGGGCTAAAGAGATTGTTTAATTCAATAGCCATATGAAACAAATCCAGAAATGTGTGTTAACTAACATCAACAGTGCAGATCATGAATATATAAATATTATATGTTTATCATGTATATGTAAATATTTGTAAATTCTTCTGGTCATGATGTCCCAGTGTAGAATTTGTACACCGTTAAACCTTTGATGTACATAAATAAATGCTTATATTTATTTTAGAATCATTACACTCTGATTGGTACTTTGCGTATGCCTGAAGTTTTTGTCTGACAAGCCTTTTTGTGTGATGGGTGTTAACATTTGTAATTAATTAACTGATGTGTTATACATACACAAAATACATATTACAAGTTAGCTGTGTTAATTGTGTTTACTGCCTTTGGTTTTCCATAATTAATCAATATTGAGATGCTTTGGCAGTTTCAAAATAGTCACCTTTCACATAGATCTATTATATATTTTTTATCATTTCATCATATTTTTTGAATTAATTTGAGAATAAAATATTTTCAGAATTCAATTTCTTTATCCTTTTAGATAATAAGGGCACTACCAGTGGCCATTACATCAGCAGAATGACAGTCTGTTGAATAACACAACAGTTCTGTAATTCCTGGCAGAAGCATGGAAGATATAATGTATTTATTTATGAAATTGAATGATTGTAAATACACAAATCACAGAGCTGTTTTATATTTCCGGACTATGTTGATTTATTGTGTTTAATTATATGGACTCAGACCACTGAACTTTAGTGTGAGCTTGTTTTAGTCTTCAATAAAGAAAAAGGAGCACTCTGTTTCGGCATAGATCTGATTATTTATTGACGGGACATAGGCCTACTTTTTGTTCAAGCTGGAATGAAGTGTGTATGGGTACTTTCTTTCCATATGTAGACTGCAATATCTCATCTTCATGTCATATTGCCACGAGCTTTCTGGTCTACAAAGTCACAATGACACCAGTTTATGTCAAAGCTACTGCACAAGAACACTTCAAGAGAACACTTTTCATAGCACAAATCTCCAACTGAAACAATTTAGCAGATTGTGTGGCAGCCTTAAAAAACAGTGTCCAAGAATAACATGAACAGCATCCAATAAATAAATTAGGTCTCAGGCTCTATGGCTCAGGTCAAACCGTCCATGTGTCCTGGCAGCAGGCCCCCTACTGCAGACAAAGTTCAAGGCTTTGAAGGGGAGATAAATGATAACATACCAAGAAAACACACATTCACACACACATACACACACACACACACACACACACACACACAGTCACGTCCGTACTTATGCATATACAGTAAATACATAACAAACATACAAACACATACAAACACACATAAACCTCCATTCCATTCAGGATGTGACTCTGGCTGCCATTGAGGAAAATGAGGAGAGTATCCATCCTTTTTAGACTGTCATGGGTGCTAACTTACCTTGGACACTAGATTATCATGTTACAGTAGGACAATACTGCACACACTTAAAGACACAGTAGATGTTGGGTTTGGATCACTGGCTGAATAATGTTAACCAGCTGTCAGTAACTAGGACACTTATTCAACTGGATATTTGGCCTCCTTTTGTTTGATTACTTTACTTGTGACATTCATCCAAACAAATAACTGCTCCCCCCGAATATGACTTCATTTGCTAACACAGTGTCCTAGACTGGTTGTTTTTGTTGGCATGAGGCATTTTTCAAGCAAAGAACCTAGGGTTGTCCTTAATCATTAACATATCAACATGAGTTTAGTACAGCTGAACTGGAGCTGGAGTTTATTAGAGGTACAGCAGAGTGTAAAACTGTAACAAACTATCAATATGGGCAGTATTCTTTATACTGGTATTCAAACAGATTGGTGTAATAAACAGTTTATATCGTCAGTGGACTTAATATGCAGTACATCCTATCTATATGGAAACATATTACCCATACTATCTCATTTTAAGTAAACATTACAGAAGAGATAAATGGTGAGGCCATCCTTATGTATTTTGTGTACAATGAATATCTGCCAATATTCTATGCAGAGGTTGGACGTATTCACTTTTCCCAGAAGGGGAAGCAGTGGGTGGAAATGAGGACATAGGCCAGGGAAGGACACTGCTTGCTTCTGAACCCTGTTGATGTTTTGTCCATTGTTTACCTATTTCAGTGACTCTACATCTTTAGGTGAGCCCTCCTGCGTAACGATGACATGATACAGTATGTCATTCTACACATCAGAGAGCTTTGATTAGTAGTTTTGCTTCCAGCAAAATTCTTCATCCCATCTTGATCTATTTTCTTCAGATGAAGACAATCTTCATCTAATTTTTAACTCCAATTAATACCAGGTCAGGTGAGAAAAACTCCTGGGCCTACGAGGTACGCTATAATGAAAGAATACATAACTGACAAAGTTGGTCAAAGTGTGGTTGGGTTGATCCACCAATTCGGTGCCTTTTGAGATGTGTAACTTCGTAAAAAAATTAAATTGTTTGATTTCACCTAATTTTAACATTCTGCCATAAAGAGCACATGTTCAACTTAATAAAAAACAAGTTTTCCCAACATTAATGGGTTTTTTAAAGCTTATTTCTGTTTGTAAAGTGCTTTCATGTGATTTTGTGTGTTTTAATGTTTTTTTATGGTTCAATAAAAAAAGGACTATAGTAAGTGCCTATTAAGTGCGAAATAAAGTAACAGGGTTGACCGTAACAGGGTTGACGATTTCATCTTAAATTAGCCATACATCCCCTTGTGACAGGGGAAATGGAAGCTTGTTGTGTGCCACAGGGAGGGGCAAATGAATGCAAGCATCAGAATTTTGTTTTACATTGTTAAAACATTTCTAGCTTGTTTATCTATGGGTAACAGGATTGACATGTTATGCTCGACCCACTCAGTTTTTTCCACAAAACACCAGAAAATGGCCAAAAAGAGTAGAACCAACTGACCTTCTTTTACGTTATGATTTGACTATTAGATGTTGAATGGTTCTTTAGATAATTTTTTTAAGTAATAGTTTCACCATATTAAAACGAGAGATCAGTTCACGTAATAGGGTTGACCTTAAAATGAGGGACAGTGTTTTTTTTTCTATTTGTATTATTATTAATCACTAATCACATTAAATAAATATTAATCTTCAGAAATGACTTTGTCAAAGCAGCAAAATAACAATTTACAGTGATGGTGAAAACTTTCTCCATGTGGTCTATGTTAAAGGGCACTTCAATGAATATATCAGGCTTTAAACATTTAATATTGGTGCACAGTTTCTACTGAAAACATAAAAGGGACGCAAAAAGGCACTCATTTCGTGCAACGACCCAGTTATACTGATGTCCCTTGGCTATCACCTCAGACAAACACCTTCCTCCATTCTGAATCCCACTGCAGCCACACTCCCTAGAGCCCTCCAATACCTGGTCGACTATTCAAGACATGACCCAGGGAAGGAGGTGGATGAAATTCCAGAAACATTATCTTTATCTCAGGCACTATTGTTTGCTTTTGGTGGGATTTGTTATTATCTGACAGACTCGTTTGACAGTGGTGATAAACTACATAGATTGGCAAAGAATTGCAGTGTAAACTTAACTGATGTTTTATTGGGGGGCCCAGGGAGATGAAGACATGACTCAGAGTAGCTAAGTACAAAGAGCAAACAGCAAAGAGAACATGAATGATAATTGATGCCATGTAACACCAGATACAAGATTGTTGTTTGAAAGGATGTGAGTAAAGACCAATTCAGAGGTCAGAGCCACAGGAATGTTGAGGTGACAAACAGAATATACTGAGAGAATTAGGACATAACGTATATATATATATATATATATATATATATATATATATATATATATATATATATATATATATATATATATACGTATTTATAACCTTTATTTAACTAGGCAAATCAGTTAAGAACACATTCTTATTTACAATGAAGGCCTACCAAAAGGCAAAAAGGCCTCCTGCGGGGACGGGGGCTGGGATTAAAAATAAAAAATATAAGACAAAACATACATCACGACAAGAGAGACACCACAACACTAAATTAAGAGAGACCTAAAACAACAACAACATAGCATGGTGTGGAGACGAAACAGATTCACGGAAGATGGTGAAGCGGATGATGAAGTGGAATCCGAATCCAATGGCGGTAGAATCAAGGAGAATTGGAGTATTGTTCAAAAGAATGGAAAACGGAGCAAAGTAGGGTACAGTGATGAGAATGACCCTTCGTATCTAGTAGGAGTACAGTTTGTTAATAAGGAGCAGCCGAGCAGAGTACCAATCTTGAAGAAACCATTTTAGTTATCCAAACTGGTGGAGAGAGTGCTGGGTAAAGTGAAGGATGTGAGGATCATGAGAGGCGGGCTTGTTTAGATTTTTTGTGATT